CACACGTGAGAGAGTAGCCATTACACATGGCGTTTCCAGTAATGGTGTAGCTCATGCGTGATACACACAGTGACAGGTACCCATCTTCTCATAATTCCTAAGAACAAACCAGAATCCATGTTCTTAGTTATCGTGTAGCTCTTTTGCTAACTTCCTGCATACACATTTTAACATGCACATTTCTAACTGGGTACCCACAGTCATTACATCACCAAGTGCCACGCGAAACACTGAAGGATTTAAACTCACAAAGAGACTGAGCTACCAGCGTAGTCACCCGACTGGGTGATGACATCACTGGAAGCGCTGTGTTTGACAGTGATCCCCTCTCATCAGATGGGCTTCTCCCATTTCCAGTGTCTCTGGTAATTGTTCACAGAGCTTTAGTTTTCAACTGTGTCTGGAATTGAGCCTCAGCTCTCAACCAAAAAACCCAAAATAAAAACAAAATGTCACTTTGGCTGGGTGTAGTTTCCTTACAACTTTGGTGAATAAAGCCTTAACATTAAATATGTATATCTGCATCTAGACCTATATAAAATGTTTAATTTCTTCCTGTCTTGCTCGTTACATTTGGTTGTATTACTGTTGACTTAAAATGGATAATCCGCTAGTTAAAATGTGTTGCACTATTGGTGATGAAGGTGTGATATACATTAGTGTTAACAGACAAAAGTGTAGCTACTAGGTTCCAATGTCAGTTGTAATTTAAATCATGGTCTCGGAGGAATTTCTTTGCTTCAGTTATTTTCATAGTTCCACATACTAGTCTCCAAGCCATTAGTCAACACTGCGCTAATTAAAAACAATGATAATTAAATGTTTTTCTTTCTGCTTTGATTACTTTTCTTAAATATTTGGACTATCTCTGGGGAGGTGTTCTACTAAATATTACTATTTCTTTTTATGATACATGTCTCCCCAATTCCTGGGACAACACCTGTGAAAACCTTTTAACAACTATGCTTTGCTTTTCCACATATGTGTGCCTTTCATTTCTGTGCTGTGTTCAATGTATAATAATTTATGTTTGGGACGTTGGCATGCCAATATTGAGTGGCTTCACTTAACAGCTATTGTCAGTAACTTTTAGAACTCCAAGCAGTATTTGTGCATCGAAGCCTTGTGTTGGGGATGGATGACTTGCTCCAAAATAGTGACACATTTTAACACTAGGGGGGGCGGGGTCATCACAGTAATGGAATATGCAGTAGAATAATGGGTGAGGGGAATTTTTTATAAATATCTATGTTATTACTTTACTTCCAAATTCCTGATACATGCTCAAGAAGGAAATTACCATTCGAAACAAAGCAAAAGGTACAACTGTAGCCCCACCATCACCACCAAGAAATATGGAAAGAGGACAGGAATGCATCCAATGGAACAGCCCAAATGACACCTGAATCATTTAAATGGCTTATAATAAAAAGAAGCTAATACTAACCACAAGTTATTATTTCTTAGGTACAAATATATGAAGAAGACTTCAAACGGGAACGATCAGACCGAGAAAGGCTCAATCAAGAGAAAGAGGAGCTACAGCAAATTAACCAAATTTCTCAGTCCCAGTTGAACAAACTGAAGTCTAAGGTATAGTCAAAACAAAATAATCTTTGCCACCATGAGTGTATTTCATTTTCTTATTTAAGAAAAAAATTAAGTCTTTCCGGCTTCTGTTAATTGACTTTGGATTTTTTTTTTTGAGAGGTTAGCACCTGGGATGAAATCATTCTTAAACAATCTTGTAAGAAGTTGAACATGACTGGAGATTTCTTTTAACTTAAGTATATTAAGGAGTTACCCAAGAAACTGGATTCCAAAGTCTTTATAAAGTCTAATTCTTTTGATCTTTTTCTCATAATATTTATCTTGGTAGAATAGGAGTTGAACTACCTAATACTCCAATTCAAATCTGAAACTCTCACAATACAGTGAAGTTGTTTCTAAATTCTTCTCATTTTCTTTGAAGGGCTATGTTGGAATGTTCTTGTCTTCCAAAAACATATATGTTTCTAAATGTCATTTCTATATCTAGAAAAACCAAGAATTTTGTTCAGTGTGTTCCCAGATTAAATGTTAACTGGAGCACTCTCAAAGAAGCCAGATAATGTTAGCCAGCTTATTGGAACAGAATATATTAAATGTAAGCGTTCTAAAATAAAGCATAATAGACTGAATTAAAAGTAGACTCAGGAAGTTGCCATGATGGGTAAATGTTGATGTCAATGAGGAAAATGTAGCTCACACCATTTTGGCTTAAGAAAAGAAAGGGAACTACAAAATTTTTGATTTACAAAATCATGAGTGCTTTTCAATAAATGGGAAATTGCTGTAGGACATGCTGTGACATTTGTGGAATGTGACGTGAAAGCCTTTGAATGTACGGCTGACCAATTCCAGTTAAAATGAATAAGCAATAGAAACTGTTTCTATATCCACATCTATGTCCATATCTATATTATATATGTACATCTAAGTATATCAACCTAAAACTGAGAATTATAATGGCCCCAAGCAAGTTGGAATAACAATTTAAAACTCTCCAACTCTCCAAACTTCATTTGGGAAATTCAAGATAGGACCAATGTATGTCTGGAAAATCCAAAACTGAACTGTTTTCCTTGGGGTCACTGGTATCAGTGCTTCACCTCTAAGCTTCTGAGCAAGTTACTGATAGCTGGATCAAGGGTAGCTTTAGAACTAACTGTCTGAATTCTTTCTGATAAACAAATGCCTTTGTTTTGTCCTTAGATAAAAGCTTTCCAGATGGAGAAGGAAAAACTTGAGAAGCAATTTCAACAGGTAGGTTGATCCTTCCCTAAACTCACCAAGCCCTCTCGTCAGCAGCTTTAAGTTTCATTCACACATTTACTCCCCGTACAGCAACTCCTCCGGTAAAGGCCTGTGCTGCTCTGCCACAGATGGCCTAGGCCAGCCACATGCTCTGCAGAACCTGTGTTAGTACAGCATCCATGTGTGTTCACACTGTCATGTCTTCACAGACCCACACACAGCTGGGACATATGTTTCCTTGGTATTCCCCATCATTGCTTACACAATGCACAGTGGGAAAGTACACCAATGAGAACATAGCATGTCTTCTTAGGCACTGACGCATGCTATCGCCTCGGTTCCCTAAGCGTAAGGAATGACTAGTATCTCCTCTCTGGACTTTGGCTATGCCGTAAGGGTCTCTGGCCGCAGTGTGAGAAAACTTATTTGATGGCTCAATGGCTGGTTCTTCTTAAGCGAGGACCCTCAGTGAAGATAAGTCAGAATCATAAAGTTGAGTCTATGTACCTTTCAAGTCTAATTTCTTCAAAATGGAAAAATCATTACGGTGTCGCCTTAAGTGGAATTTGGTCTGTGAGCTCATCTGTATCAGCCCAGAGTCCACCCTTCTGAGTTAGGAGTACGCCAGGTTTTTAGGCTAACCCTTGGGATTGAAACAAAACCCGCGGTTGTCTGAAGCAAGTGTCAGGGTGACTCCCCAGTTGCACTCACTCCCAGTGAACAACACCTTGTTCTCCTCAGATGAGTTTTCCCACCTCTAACTGCGGCTTGGGTTCCCCACTGCGGGATCTGTGCAGACCGACGGGCCCTGGAGCTGTGCAGGACCTACAGAAGCACCCAGTAAGTGAGAACTCTCACTTCAACAATACATGCTTACTGAGTACCCTGTTTCGGTCGAATCATGTCTGTCTCCGGCATTTGGGCACATACTGTTGTCTATAGGAAGAGCCTCTATTTTAGCTCAGCCCCTAATTTGCAGTTTACAGTGGTCCACATACATACTCTATTCACAGGACACATAGTGACGAACACATTAACTGAAACATATCCAATTGAGCTATAATTCCTTGAACAAACATACATTTTGTATGGGTCATTTTTAATGACGTAACCTGGCTCTACCAAAAGGACATTTGTATGTGCAAAGCGAAGCAAACTNTAAAAACATAAATTAGTAAACAACTTTTGTTGTTTCCTTAAATTCTTCTTGGAGGAAGAAAAAAATTCTGTTTCTGTTACAACTGCCTAAAAAGTGATATTTACATCAGGCTAGACAGTATTCATAGACTCTAAGACATTTCATTAGGAAATTCCTAGTCTGTCTATACATGTTCAAGACCATAAATTTGTTTTTCTTTTCCTACCTTTATGACCACATTGTATAGTATAATGCAGGGAAGTAAGTTGCTAATCGTATCATCAAAATAACATCGTTGAAGCTACTAAAGAAATAGAAAGGAAGTGAATTCTTCTTGGAGTTCTGAAAGTGAACCTTTGTATTTACGTAAAGGATTCAGGTGATAATAAGCAAGTAGTCATATTGTGTGGGGCTCAGAGACCACACAGGATGAAATATGCTCTGTCACAATTTTTGGCAGCCATTATATTGAACTCATCTTGAACCAAAGGTCTTCAGAATAGAGGTGATGTCATTTATATGATTTGACAAAATATAGTATACAGAAAAGTATCATGGGCTAATGAGTAAGGATGATAATCTTGTTGGCAAATCTAAGTGTCTCTTATTTCCTTTACCTCCTCACCCCATGGTGAAAAACCCAAAGTTGTACTGAAGGTCAAGAAAGCAGAGTAACTCTCTCCACCCTGCATGAGTTAATGAGGGTCTTATTAGAGAATAATATGATTTCGGCTCGGCCAGGGCATGGTCTGTTGAGGGAGACAGGGCAGAGGAGTTACAAAACATCTAATGAACCCATCACAGAAATGGGCTCACATTTCTGTGGGGTTCCTTCTTTCCCATTGGAGGTGTGGTTATATAGCAGAATAGTACTCAAAATGTCATCAGGGACCAGCAGCAGAAACTTGAGGAATGCAGATTCTCAGACGCTACCCCCAGATCTCCTGATCCAGGCTCTCTGGGGGCAGTGCCCAGAGATAGGATATTTCCTACCTCTCCAGGTGATTCTCATGCTCCCTAAATTTTGAGCTTTACTGATAGAGTATATATTTGACTGATGCAGAGCATCCAGAGAAAAGGTATAGATACATTTTCCTGTCATGGTTGGCTAGGTGGAGGGGGCTCCATCACCCAAGCCCTCCTGAAATACAATGAGAGTTGAATAGCACAAGCATCATCAAGAAGAAAAGACAGATTCTAGAAAATAATACATGCTAGACCATCAGAAAGAAGAAAGTCATTCAGTCATGAAAGTAGCATTAAAAAGGAAATTCTACCTTGTGGGTGCATTTGAGATGATTGTGTTAATTATGGAGAAATTCATATGGTGTAACTCTTAGATCAACACTGTGCTTCTCTCATAACATAGGCTCTTCAGGATGCCTTGAAAATCAAGTGTTCTTCATTTCCTGAGGGCTGTTTGGGGAAGTCCGAAAAGGAGTGCAGCCATGAGGAGATGAGGACAGAAATGGAAGTTCTCAAACAGCAGGTGAGAAATTGAAGGGAGTATGATGGTCATGTGGACAGCAGCGGACCCATTGCTCATGTGCCATCGTTGGATACTCATGTTTTTTGAAGTCTTGCTTTTCAAAATACATCAAAGGTTTTTGCATTTACTTTACTTAGAATCATCTAATTTTAAAGCATGATGAAAGAATATAGACCAGCTAGTCCAACTCACACTTTATGCAAGAGGTAATTGAGTTTCAGAAGGGGTCAATGGCTTGCCCAAGGTCACAGGTAAAAGAGGAGCATGCTAATGACCCTTTTGGGGATATTCTATTAGCAGTGGGTCTAGGAAGTTTCAGGTAGACATGATTTATTTTGCAAACACTATTAACTCAATTTCTGGACCTTCTCAGAAAATGGTAGCAGCTGGGCTGTTATTCTGTAGCTTCTGGTCTCCAACCTTTGAACAACGAGGGCAGTTTTCAGGGAATACTCTGCACTGATCGTAATCACTGATGAGCCAGATCTGCTCGTCTACCCCACGTACAGATGGCACCACCTAGCAATTTACTGATGCACAACAGACTCCTCCTCCCCCCTCTCCCCACCTCACTCTCTGTAGGCAAGTGAACAGCAAGGGGAAAGGATGACCTCTCAGTTTCTGCGCGTACCAGCAGCATAGGGCTGTGGGGACACAGCACTGCCTACACAGCCTGGCTCTACATTTAGTCAGCCGGCTAGAGCTGGCCTGGCCAAGGGGCCACCCATGCATATCTCCTTTCCTGTGAGAGGTTAAATCAACAATGTAGGTGAAGGGCCGCAATGGTTCATGGCGATATGGACAAATACAGGATACGAATAGGAACTCCAACCCCGAGGCACACACAGTGTCAGTAATATATCAGCCCTGGGGGGAGAGGATGTCATAGAACAAAGGCCTGGGAAATATTGTTTTTC